AGTGATTAGTTTGTTTTACAAGTTTCTAGGTTTTTTTATTTTCCAGTTTCCAACTTCAAAACTTCTTCGATGCTTCAATTTTGCTCATTTGACATTACTTTGATGCTTTACATTGGAGGTTCCACCCTCTCCCAATTTCATTTTTGGCAACAACTTTCGTTTCTCCACTTTTGTTTTTGCCGGCAGCTTCATTGCTTCACATTAACTATTGTAGAATTTGGATGCAATTTTTATTTCTAAGTACGGTGTTCTGCAATTCTTTTTTTTTTATGTTTCTTTTAGACATCTTCATGCCAATGCAATGCTTGGTTCTAATCATTTTTAGGAACTCGTGCCTTAATTGTTTTATATTGATCAATGATGTTATCCCAGTTAATACAATATTGGCTTGCTATCTTCATCGTGGATTGTGAACAAGAGGTGAACTATAAATTGACCAACCCGACCCGATCCGATCAAACTTGAATGGTTGGGTTGATATTATACCAAATCAGATATGTTGAGTTGAGTTTGGATTGAGTAAAAACTCAACCCAACCTAACCACGCCCACCACGGCGATTAAAATCGGATTTTAATGAAAGTTAGTGAAATGTGTAGTTGAAAAGTTGTAGATTCCATAATATATGTGGATGAAATTGACTGTTGATTAAAATTCTAATTTTAATCCCAACAAATAAGGTCTTAATATTATTGCATGAGCATAAATGTACGGATGTCATTGCACGTCGTGTTCAGGGTAAACTCCCATATACAAGGCAAACTTTTATCAACAACGCGTAGACGAATTTTATTTTTTAAAACTTCTTTTCTTTTTAAAAGGATAGGGAAGCTGCTCGTTTAATATCGGGCTATTCAACGCAACGTCATGTCCATCTTAAATTGGCCCTATGGAATTCAGTATCTGTTCATTAGAGTCCCGTGTGAGGATTGAATGAAACAGGACATTATGGAGATAAATATAAATATAAATGCAATTAATTTCAATATCTACCCGAATTATTATTATTTTTTCTTATATTTTTGCTGAACAAATTGAAACGCGGTTGCTTAAAAAAGGAAAAAAAAAAAAACTAACGTAAAGGCAATTTATATTAATTTTATTTAGTCATTATTTCTTCATTTTAACCACACATTCTATCAATAAAATAATATTACACATAAATCCAAAAATTTTACTTACTTTTTAACCACACATTCTTCCATCAATCACTATTCCAAATCAAATGTTTCTCCAAAATGGGTGTCAAACACAAGCTTAGGTGCCGTTCTCTTTGCCGTTTTCGGGCCGTTTTCTGTTTTCGATTTTTCAAAACGGTGAAAATGCGTTCTCTTTCCTATTTCCGAAAACGCATTTTCGAAAACGAAAATTATTTTTACACTGAAAACGCAAAACGGCATTTCGACTGTTTTCTAGCAAAATCATCCCAAAATTGAAAACACGGGAAATGGAGTTACTGTTCATACACACAAATCAATCTATATCTTCCTTATCTCATCTCGTCGGTTTCTCTCCTCCAACGCCGGTGACCACCTCTGCACCACCAATGCCACAGCGAAATTGTTAGAACCTTATATCCATCTCGCCACCACTGCCACAGTCAAACACCACAATCTATATCTTCCTTATCTCCATCTCGCCACCAGAAAGACTCAAGCACCACACAAATCGGAACCAGAAGCAAAATAAAAAAAAAAAAAGGAAGAAAATGAGTCACACCCAGCCACAGCCAAATTTGCACTCCAACCACAGCCAAATTCGCTCCCAAAATCGCACTCCAACCACAGCCAAACACCACTGTTCACAGAGAGGGAAGAGGAAGAAGAGAGAGAGAGAGATGATGAGGACGGGAAGAAGGGAGAGAGACCGTGCGGAGATTAGGGGAAGAAGAGATAGACGCGACGGGGAAAAAGAGAGAGGGTAGAAGAAAGACAGGGAATTGATTTGGGGGAAAAGAGAACGTGTTTTCAATTTTTAGTTTTTGGAAATGATTTTTCAAAATGCCAAAAATAACACATTTTCAACAATTTCAAAATAGACACTCAAAACACAAAATTCAAAACGACTAAAAAACTCAAAACGGAAAACTGAAACACGAAGAGAACGGCATCTTAATGTTTTCCTCAAGAAATGTCAAATCAACTGAGTCTCGAGCCCGTTATCTAATTTTTAACAGCGCATTTTACCAATAAAATAATTTTGCACGTAAATTCAAAAATTTTAATATATTTTTTAACCACAAATCTTCCAAAAAATACTATTACAAAATTTATTTGCCCAAAAAAAAACAGGGCCCAAATAAACCCCAAAGCAATCAAATACGATAGTTACAATTACAAGTAATATTTATAGAGCATATCAAACAATTTCTATGAAATGATTTTACAGGATTCAACCAATATCTTGAATGGAGTTAGGTTCAAGCGTGACAAAAAAAAAACTAAAGTATTAAACATCGTCAATAATAGTTTTGTAAAATATGAAAGAGTGAGAGTGATATGAAATCTAAAAATTATAATTCGCTTTTTAATGATTTGAATTCTAAAATTTTTGGAAAACTACTAAACTCGGCTGTCACTATTTATTTTTATTTTTATTTTTTCCCTTCTTGTCAAAATCAGGCAGCAGCAATCTACATGTCAACATTTTGTCTGTTACATCGTCCTCTCCTTTGGAAGTCATTATTTCGAAGAAAAAAAAAGATTAGAAACGTCTTTTGAAAATGATGCGTAAACGTTGACATTTTATAAATAAATGAGGGGTTTACACAATTAACGACATTTCGCTCTAAAGTTTGAGAGTCAACAATTAATTTTAATTACTCATTTCGTAAAATTAATAATTTTATCAATTTTTATCAAAATAACCTAAAAATCTAATTTTTAACTAAACCAAAAAAGGACAAAATTTGCTTGCTTAGATATATACATATCTCCCCCACTCCAAAATTATAAATACAAAAGGGATACATTTAATTTTAGGGCATTTCAATGGTAGATAGCTTTATTTATAGATATTAGATTCTTTTATGAATATTCGAATATCTCATATATAGATATAGTATATTTGCATACTAGAATTCAATCTCTCTATCATCGTAATTCAAAGTGCATTACAAGGAAACTAAAACTAAGCCTTCATTTGTTTCTCATTTTTCATCCATAAAAATAAAAAAAAATGACTGTTATCCATCACATCAAGCCATCAATTTTAAATTTCTATATCTTATGTGGTACTCAATAACGGTTATATTTTTCACTATCTTTCTACAATGATGAAAATCAAACGGGCCCTAAGTGTTCATTTGAATAAAATTATAAGTTAGTCAAATTATAATGTGATAAAAATGAGTGATGCATAAATAAGCAATAATTATGAATTCGGGTGAAAATTTGAATACTTCTCAAACATTCACTTAGTTTGTGACCAATTACACTCTATCTTATACGGTGTTCTTTATTTAACTGGGTGGGATATCTAAGACATGGGGCTACCNAAACGTTGACATTTTATAAATAAATGAGGGGTTTACACAATTAACGACATTTCACTCTAAAGTTTGAGAGTCAATAATTAATTTTAATTACTCATTTCATGAAATTAATAATTATATCAATTTTTATCAAAATAACCTAAAAATCTAATTTTTAACTAAACCAAAAAAGGACAAAATTTGCTTGCTTAGATATATACATATCTCCCCCACTCCAAAATTATAAATACAAAAGGGATACATTTAATTTTAGGGCATTTCAATGGTAGATAGCTTTATTTATAGATATTAGATTCTTTTATGAATATTCGAATATCTCATATATAGATATAGTATATTTGCATACTAGAATTCAATCTCTCTATCATCGTAATTCAAAATGCATTACAAGGAAACTAAAACTAAGCCCTCATTTGTTTCTCATTTTTCATCCATAAAAAAAACAAAAAATGACTGTTATCCATCACATCAAGCCATCAATTTTGAATTTCTATATCTTATGTGGTGCTCAATAACGGTTATATTTTTCACTCTCTTTCTACAATGATGAAAATCAAACAGGCCCTAAGTGTTCATTTGAATAAAATTATAAGTTAGTCAAATTATAATGTGATAAAAATGAGTGATGCATAAATAAGCAATAATTATGAATTCGGGTGAAAATTTGAATATTTCTCAAACATTCACTTAGTTTGTGAGACCAATTACACTCTATCTTATACGGTGTTCTTTATTTAACCGGGGTGGGATACCTAAGACATGGGGCTAATAAGTACTCCCTCTGTTCCAATTATATAGGCTGGGTTTTTTTTCTTATCCCAAATGTATAGACATGTTTTTTAATGTAGAATATTTTATCGTGTTCCTTTACCAATATACTCTTATTAAATATTTTACACTTAATATGTCAATTTCTTGAAACTATCTAAATACACACATTTTCCACTTTTTGGAAACATAGAACAACTCTCATTTTTTCTTCAAATTCTTTATTAGTTCCAATAATAATTTAGTTTTACATACTAAAAATTAAATAGGGGTATATTAGGAAAGATCTTGTCAAAAATTAATTTTTCAATGATATTAAAGAAGTTTTCTTAATTTGTGTGAAAAATGAAACAATCCTATATAATTGAGACGAAGGGAGTATCGATCAATTGAAAATACAACCGAGTCAATTTATTCGAATTTGGTTTAATTTTTCGTGCCACTCCGTTGGGTTGTTCTATGCGGACCAAATGCGTTGGTCTTTCCCCAATATTTGTTTTTCTAGGATGAGATTTCCACTATTGATTAAATTAATCAACAAAGTACAAGATTTGCCGCAACACCAACAAGTATGCATGCTGGTACTCTTCCCTTATAATAATTTCTCATTCTCAATTGTGAGTTTTCTAAGTACAAAAAAAGAGAAGACAAACCCCCTTACCTCACCTTCGTGATCTTCACTCAGCCGCTCTGCCCATTCAACACACCCACCAATTCTGCAGAATTTGATATATTGGTAGATGAAGTGTAAAAAACACCCAGCCGATTTTAGTAGCGGCGTCGGCGTATGCGCCTCCTGCCTACGCGAACGTCTATTTGCAATTATAGCCGTCCAGGCCGAGAAAGAAGCACAAGAAGTTCGCCGGGATTTTGATACCCAACCGGCTCTTGCTTTTCCCCGGTCTGTATCCCCTTATGTAGCTTGCCGGGAATCAGACGCCGCTGCCACGTGGAACCTGCGTTACAGCAGTCCCCAGGTGGCACCCGCCAGTTCGATAACAGTTGGAATCGAGAAGAAGAGAAGCGGTGGGAGATTTTCTTCGCTTTTTTCGGGTCTTTTTAGATCCAAAACGGAGAAACCGGATTCGGATTCTGGCCCTATTTCGGATCCTGGTGTTGCGCGTGCTGCATCTACTCCTTTGTGGTTTCCTACCATTCTTCCTGTCCGGCAGAAAAAGCAAATTCGCACGCTTTCGCTTGACCAAAATGTGATCGGTGGCCACAGGAGGAACTGCCGCAATCTAGACCGTGGAATGTCGCCTGCTAGGGATCCCGATGAGGAGCATTTTCCCGGGGGATTGAGCGGGTACTCGTCAGAGTCTTCTCAAGGATGGAAGCAGACGCCGCGGAGGACGCCGGGGATGCGACGCCGTGGAGGGTTTCCGGGATACTGTAGGAATGTTTCGAGTATTGCGTTTTGCTTGAGCCCTTTAGTCCGTGCTAGCCCAAACTTGCAATGGAATCAGAAGGGGGTTCCGCCCGAGGCGGTGGTTGCCGGCGACAGTAGGATTCCGGCGAAGCCATATCTCTCTAGTGCGTCGTCGTTTTGCAAGAACAGGTCCCGTAAGCTCTGCGATTTCGGGAGGCACAATCCCAACCATTAAATCCAATGACCATTGACATTTGACCACAACTCATGGCCGTTAATGAACCCCCACTCTACGGAAACTACTGTTTTGCCCCTGGCGCAATCACTATTACTGTTTTACTTTTTTTTTTTTAAAACATTAGTCTTCTTGTATGTACACTATCATTGAACAGGAGAAATTTTGATTTTTTTTTTTCTTTTTTCTTACAAGTAAAATTTTGTAATTGAATTTACAGAAATACCCCTTGATTTCATATTAAATATTCAGTGTTCTATACAATATTTGATACCCATTCTTCTAAAAATACATTTTTATTTTTATTATTTTCAACCACACATTTTCAATAAAATAATATTACACGCAAATTCAAAATTTTTCTTATTTTTTAACCACATATTTTTATCAAATCACTATTTAAAATGTATTCTTAGAAGAATAATGTGTATCAAACAGTGGTAGTCCTACTTATCAATTAAGTTACATGGTGGAGTGGTTGTAAAGAAAAATACTCTATAATGGAGTGATGCATTTTCCCCCCACCCCATTAATAGATAAACTTTTGTGAGTTGAATTGTTGATTAATAAGTGTAAGTAGGGCCAACATGTATTAGCGTAATAATTCATGTTAGGTTGTGCTCTGCTCGACTCGATTCGACTTTGATGAACACGAAAATGCAATGAAGCGAGTTGAGCCATATTTCGATGAAACGAGACGGTACAAGTTTGGCTCACCCACAAACGGACGTGAGCTGGCTTGCGTAATGGACTGAGTCTGAGTCGGACCCGAAAATGGAAGAGCTGAGTGGCTCAACTCGATCCATTTAAAATTTGAATATTAACTTGGTAACTATCCGTAAGTTAAAAAAAAGTTTTGTTCCTGTCAATGAAACTTTTTTATGAATATAATCAACCTAACTCGTGATTAGATATACTTGGCATCAATAATTCAAACTAGAAAAGGTAATTTAAAATTTGACTGTAATTAGTGGGAGATTGATAAGGATAATTTGAATTTGATTTCACGGTGTTTCTTTTTCAAGTGCAGTGCATGAGACCGATTCTCAAGTAATTTTTCACTTTCCCTTGTCTTTGACTATATTTACACATCAATTACCTGTAAGTATATTGATGCAATCATGCCTATGGGCATTAGCTCAGTGGTGTAAATGACACGAGTGAGGTAGTCTCAGTTGAGTTGACAGCCACAGTGTGATGGTTCGATTCCTATCTCTTACAAGGTATGAAATTGGATTTTTTGTGGGCACCCGTATGACAGCTCTTGTACTCTGATCTGATGATGCACATCCCGCGATTTATTTTCTCCACAATATTTTAGGGAAGGGACAGTGTAGGGCTCTCAAAGTTGGGGTTCAACCTTTATATTGATGCAATTGTACTTATCAAAAAATAAAAATAAAAAATTTGTTGTAGTTGTATTAAGAAATAAATAAAGGATTGGCAAATTTGTAGATTCGGAAGAATTTGAATAAATTTTCTTAATAGAGTTTAAAGAGGTCTTTGGGCCTGTTCGGTAACTTCTATTTAGAGGCTCAACTCGACCCTAATGCGTAGGAGCTCGGCTTGTGCTCGCGGCTCGTGGTCTAGCCGAGGCCTAGCGAGCCAACTCGCTAAGCTCGTAAGCCTCCCACGAGTCTACTTTCAATGAGCCGCTCGATCCGTTTGCTATCACTACTTCTATTTTTTGCTTATGTTTCTTATAAAAAAAACTTCTTAAGAAAGTTATTTGATTTAATCCTTAAAAACTAATTTTTTAAATAGTTATATCTTACGATTTTTTTTTTTTTTTGAAAAAGTCACGTTAGACCAATTTTCTTTAAAATCTCTTGTAACTAGAAAAAAACACACTTATAAATTAATCAAAAGGGTTCAAAAAGCAGCTTTTAGAGTCCTGTTTGGGTCAGATTAAAATATGATTTTAATCTAAGTCAAAGTCAAACAATCAATATTAATCACATCTTTCATGGATTTCACATCTTTTCAACCACACATTTCAAAAACTTCTATCGCAATCCACTAAAAATCTAATTTTAATCCCCAACAAACACCCTCTAAAAGATCATTTTTAATTTTCAAAAGTCATATTAAACCGGTTTTATAACATTTTACAATTCATTATCAACATTATTTGAAATCAATTAATGCACGTGGATTTAGCATCGCAAGTATCGTTGCCAACGGATTTGTGGAAAATTAGACATCCAAAATTAGTATTAATTATACTCGATATGATATGATGATGTCAATTGGGTATCTTCTTTTGAATTTATGTGGTTTAATTAAAGAGTAAAGCTATTAATCCCCACTGAAGTTATAAACACAGTCTATATGGCGTTAAGTGTTATTAAATGATAGATGAAATGAAACAAGTTATTTAATTTCACATTTCTCTTAATTAAAGCCAAATAGATTTCTTAAATTTTCGAAAAAAATACAAATTAATTATTAAAGATAAGTATGGAAAACTAATGATTTCGTTATGATTATCGGTTTGTTATGGTTATTATTCACGGATCGAAAGCTTATTTTAATTGTTTAATGTTTTTCGAATTTCGTAAAGAGTGATTTCAGATAGAAATGTTCGATAATAAATAAAAGAAGATATATACTTCGAACTCGTTACTTCATTTAAGAAATGAAATAAATTTAGATATTTGACTCAATTAGGGTCCGTTTGATTGGAAATGTGGAAAATAGGTGAAAAGAAAATATTTTACAGGGAATTGTAATTAATTGTGTTTGATTGATATAATTTTTCATGAAAAATGTTAAAAGTTTGGTGCCCGTTTGACTTCGTTTTTTATAGAAATTGTCCATTAAAGTGATAATGTTTTCTGCCATTGGGTCTAGAATTTNTCATACCGAATACCATTCATTTGGGTTTGTTTTCCATAAAAATTGTCAATAAAATGGATTTTTTTTTTTTTACCATTGTGTCTAGAATTTTTTCTAATTGCCAAAAAAAAAAATATTTACCCACCAAAACATCAAGAATTTATTTTTCTCAAAAATATGGAAAATTTGGAAAGTTGGAAAATGGAAAATTTTTTTCATTTTTCATGAAAAATGTGTGTTATCAAACGGGGTATTAGAGAAAGTTGTTGGAAAAATTAAGTTCATGTTTGATTGCATTTCAATTCCATGGAATATGGAAATTAAATTCCATTTTCCACCTTTTGCATATTTGATTGTCCAAATTTCCCATGAAATTGATTTTCCATCTTTCATCTACATGCTCACACTTTCTTGATTTTTCTTTCTAGACAAATTTTTTTTTTGCAATGAAAACAAATTTTATTCCTAATTGTAACAAATTATATTCCTTTAATGAACAATTTTTATAGAAAACAAAGTCAAACGAACACCATAAGATCTAAAATTTCAATATTTTTCAGGTGAAAAATTATAACAATCAAACACAATTAATTGATAATTTTCAGTATAACAAATTCTAAACAATTCAATTCCCAGGAATTCATTTTCTTTCCACTCAAATTCCATTCTTACAGACAAACGGACTCTAAAAGAAAAGTGAGAAATGAGAGTTTATACGTGACAACCACATCCATATCAATTGATGTACAAGTTTAGTTCTCATGACCGTGACTATTGGTGGAATGTCATTAGCTATCTCCACAATTTTCATACAAAGAAAGATCTTAAATTCTAGACTTTTAATAAAGTATGGTTAATTTGTATTTTTGAAATGAAATTGAGATCTCATATCAAAGTCGAACGGGGTGATGGGACCCCACCAGGTGGTTTAATACTTCTTTTTATCTCTTCGTGACATAGTCGCTGGATGATTTGGTAGCAGTAAAATTTGACACTAATATAAAAGTTATATAGACATGAGCAGTAGAATGTACGACAAATTTGGGTGTCAATTATTAAAGAATTTTCCCCCTTGTACAGTCATTAATGGACTGTAAAATGTACAATCCTGATTGATTAGCGTGAACCCCACTGATTAATTAATCAGTGGGGCCCACGCTAATCAGTCGGGACTGTAAAATTTACAATCCATTAAGAACTATACATGCAGCATCCTTTATTATTAAAGTGTAATACATTAGACACTATGCCTATGTTTTGGATAACATTAAAATGTAACTTATAATTTATTTTTCAAAGTCAAACATTAACATATTTAATATGACTCACAATTATTATTCACTCAGCCGCATTTCTATCGTAATATAATTTTTATAACTTGTAATTTTAACCACACTCTTGTTATGTTAATACCAAGTTCATTCCGATGTTCACATCGTTAACATGAGATATGAGACATCTACTCTATTGATCTTTTAGTCACATGTTGTGGGCCTCGCTCCAGGTCCCTACCTTTATTTCACGGTTCTCCTTTTTTCCAACCTTCACCATCTTTCTCTTTGCTTAATTCTAAATTGATCATCTCTCGTCTCATTCACCTACTATTTCTCTCCAATCCCTTCCAAGTTCTCCTCCATCTCATCCCTTCACCCATGTCGCTTTCTGCCGCAGAGGATACTTAATCGAGTAGGGACGGAGCCGGTAGATGCAAAAAAAAAAAAAAATTCTACTGGGCTGTTACATAGAAAAAAAGTTACTTTTTTTACTAATGAAACTTATTAGGTTTTAAAAACTAATTCTTTACTAAAACAGTAACTTTCAAACTTAACCTAACATGTAATTATGTAAAGTTTGGTCTATCAAAAAATATAATGGCAATATCATTCTAATATTTATATTGAACAATTGGGTGATTCTTCAAAGTAAAGTTTGAATTATAATCAGTTGGTGATTTGTCTCATGTCCTCAACAATTACTTTAAACACGCAAAGGTCACTAAAAAATTGCTCAAACTCGTGCATAGTTTTTGTGTCACATCACACTTTGGCCAACTTTTAGTAAACTAATCAATCCCAATACTAACTTATAAGCCGAAAACTTACGCGTGATCATTTTTGCGTATTTAACTTTCACGTGCAATTGTTAGAGCCTCGTTGGTTTAAGTTTCTTTTAGTTAATTTAATTTGAAAATTAATTAAAACATTTTTTTTTAAATTTTTCAGTAAGGCTTCGAGCCTCATTGCATATTTTTTATTTGTAGTACTACATAATGTTTCCAAAAGTTGAGTACAAGCTCAATTCGAAATTCGAGACTAAACAGGCGAACGACTTATCTTGGATGCTCTTGGATGTTGAAAGTTTAGTCCAAGTTTGGTTTAGCTAAAAAACTTGATAAAATTTAAAGTATAATCAACAATTAATTACAATTATGCATTTTATGAGACCCACAATTTTTTAGCATGTTTGAGAGCGCTTTTTAAACAAAAAAAATGACTTTTTGAACCGTTAGAAGGAAATAAGGCAATCATTGTTGACTTTTGATCTCACGAGTGGGATCCCCCAGTTGAAAAAAATGGTCATTTTTTAGCTTAAAAGCTGCTGAAAATTTCTATCAGACAAATCCTTTTCACAAACACATTTCATCAGTTTCTATCAAAATCTACTAAAAATTAAATTTTTAATTTTCCTCAACTTCAAATAAAGCAAAAGCGATCAATCCAGTTGTTTAAGTGTTTTTAATTTCATTTTTCTTCTTTATTGATATATATGCTAAATAAATATTGGTTAGTTTTAAAACCATGTGGATCGGCATTATGTTGGATTAAAGATATTATCCACTCTAGCACATCAAAGATGCTAATAATAGGGGAATAGATAAAACTATACAATCAAATAAGGGCAAAAAAAAATTCAATTTCTATATGTAACATTTTTCGACCTAGTCTAGAACTACGTAGCTAACATGCACTAGAAGTATTGAAAAAGTATCAAGATAACAAGTCCACAAAACATTTGGTTCTTGACATGAAACCAATTACTAATATTTAAATGCATCGAACCACTTCGTCTAAAAGTTTGAGCTGTTTGAAAGGATCATGAGCATATCTATTGATTTGTATTCTCAATACAGTTTAATTTTCCAATCAAAGCCTAACCCTCGCATAATTTCAATAAATGGGTCGAGAAAGACTCGAACCGAGAATATTAAAGTACATAATCTAAAAGATCTAATGAAGTAAAAGGAAAAAAAGGCACAAAACTATAAGCACTCGTTAAAAATAAGCATTCTATTGAATTTTAGACTTTCGCCTGATTCATATATCTGCTCCAAGAAAATAACTTTGAGCAGGAGACGATAAAAATAACATAATCTTGTGTAGAATCTATATAACCAAAGGAGGAGGCATTTACGATGAGAGAAAAGAATACTCTATAATTCTATAACACAAGGTCTTTTGAATCGACTCGACCTGCCAATCAATATTATCAGCAACAAGAACTGGTAGAGGCATCTTTAGCATCAGCTTTTGTTTTGCTTTCCTTAATATCATCAAGATAGTTCTGATAGATGTAAGAGGTGAAACCCCAAAATGACATCAGCATTGCAATTATTTTCACACCATTCATCTTGTCATGGAAGACGATAAGAGACGCAATAGGAGTAACGGCCAAGGAAAGAGTACTAATAACGTTGGAGAAAAGAGAAGAGACTACAAAGATCAAACCTACAACACCGACAGAACAAAGTTGCCATGCCACGGCTGTCCAAACCAAAGTCATGACATAAGAAAGTTTTCCAGTGGCGAAACCATCCATTTCCCCCCTTAAAGTCTTCCATTCGCCACTTGCGAAAAGGCCTATAATGGAAACACAAGTAGCCACAACTGATGTATAAATTTGCATTTCCAAAACCACGGAAAATGTTTCCTTCTTTAGAACTTTCTGGAATGTTAGCTGCATGAGGGAGAGCAAAACAGAGTACATAGCAGAAGCTGCAAGAGTGGTTAGGACCCCCAGGATATATTTACCCTTAGTGACTCCTGAAGGTTCATTCGAATCATCATTGACTGCAATGAGAGAAGCCGATAATGAAAGAATAATTACAGAATTAAAAATTAAAGCAGTGAACTTTTGGTGATTGATGAAGTAAGAGGAAATAGCATTGAAGGCTAACTGTGTGGCGCAAATGAGAGAATAAGTAGAGGCAGATAGGTATAATAGTCCAACAGAGTACAGCATGTTGTCTCCAGCAATGAGGCCTCCAATGACAATATAGATTACTAGTAGGGTAACAGTGGAAGGCGGGTTTGACACACTTGAAGATTCATCTGAGGATTGAAGAAAAAAATATGGGATGAAAAGGATAGGGAAAGCAGCTGTTTGAACAAGAGTGGCCATCCATGTACTATTTCCACCTTTGTCGTAATAAAATCTTCCCAATAGGACAGCAGCAGCTTGACCAACAAGAAGAAAAATTATGTTAAGAATCAGTAAGAGCCACCAGTGCAAGCGCTTTTGCTGGGAAAGTGGTAGTTGGAGAGTTGAAGGTCCATTGTTCGATAAAATGAGCTCTTCATTTACTGCAATGTGAACAACACAAATGGAAGCATTAGATGGTTTTTGAAAGGAAAAATATTGTATTCTTATCACTGACAGGTTAATAAATTAATTATATGAATTTGCCACAACATCTAAGAGCAAAAATAACAGATCCGGTATAATGTGTATTCTGACATCATTGTACTCCCTCTATCACATAATCTTTGTGGGTAAAATTTTTTTAGTTCCGGAAATTGTTCTTATAATTCTGTTGACCCCAAAAATCTAAGCCAACAAATCTCTTGCTACCTCCTTATCAAATCACCAGAGTACTTAGAAAGCTACACTATGGTGATTGCTGTCAAGGTCTGGAGAATAAAGAGCAAGAATTTAGCTAGGGCTTCTAATAGCACTCAGTCTTTGGGATTTTCCAAGGGGCTTTTTGGTCTTTTTACCATTATGGAGCACGTGCTCAAAATAGATTTTGATTCTAGATTAGTTCTATCACACCTCACATTTATTTTTTGGCATGGTTGTTACTTTCACATGATTTTCTAAATCACCTTTCTCACAAGCTCTCTAACTGTTTTGCCACCTGGCGCCTTCCCTATGTGACAACGTGGTAAAAGGATATTTGTTTGTTTTCCTTTAAGGAGATAGGGTACTTGAGTGATCCTTATATCTTTGACTGCTTTGTACTTGCAAGGATCCAAATAATTCCAAGTAAACTGGTTCGACTTGTTGGCTTTGCCAAGTTAAGTTCTCATCGCAAGTTTAAAGGTTCGACTTACCCAGGCGAGACCTAGGGAGAAATGGTCTTATGGCTTCACACCTGTGAAGTGATTATGGCAAGGCCTATCCTGACTTCATATTGTGATGAATGTCATTTGGTTGGTAACAAGGTTCCTTCATAACACAATAGTTTCGTAAGTTCCTAATATATATTTTTTTTTTTTTGAGAAAAAGCATTTCATTAAGCTTCAAAGCAGCAAATTTCGGATACAAGAAGGAATTTCCTCCAACACAATTCTCTCCTCAGAGAGTTTAAGTTCCTAATATTACCTCCTTAGTTTAACACGTACAAAATTTAATTGCATAATAACACTGTAATTTGTCTCCACTAAGGGGTAATTCTGAAAAAATGACGTAAATAGGTAAGATGGTCATGCATTTACTGTGCTATCCAATTATTTTGGAAAGTAAAATAAGAACAACAAGATGAGGAGGGAAATATATATTTTCCTGCCACGTTATGAGCTCATCAGTGCATTATGCACCAGACGGATGAAAGCGCTTAATTTGAAGTTCAAACAGTAGCTAATGGACATCAGATTTTGGGTTCATTACCCTAATAGTCACTGAAGTTTACTCAAAGTTTCCACCACGTTACTGAACTTTAAAAACTACGTGGTTAGTCACTGAACTTTGAAACTGCAACCCCATCCATCACTGAACTTTAAAAATCACTCCATTCATCACTAAATTTTGCAAAAGGTTTCCCAGGTGGTCACTAAACCAGTGAGAAACTTTTTGCAAAGTTCAACGACTCCGTAAAAATCTTTTGCAAAGTTCAGTGACTAATGGGGTGATTTTTAAAGTTCAGTGATGAATGAGATTGCAGTTTCAAAAGTTCAGTGACTAGCCATATAGTTTTTAAAGTTCAATACACGTTGGAAACTTTCGGTAAAGTTCAGTGACTATTGGGGTAATTAAACCTCAGATTTTTGACCAAAGAAGAGAAATAAATGGAGCCACAGGATCTCTACTTATTCATTGTGATGATCACGCTTACTAGACACAAAGTAATACCAAAACACAGTCCACAATTATGGCTTAATACTTATTGATGATTACACCATTAGCGAACACATTGTCCACCACTCAACCACTATTTTTGGGTTAGATTGAAACGATATTTAGCCTAATAAATATTTAGAAGAATTCCTCTCTCTCTTTTCTTATACCAATAACTAAAGCTTAGATAACATAATTTATTCCAAGAGACAATGAAAGTAGCTGTCTCTTTTAACTATATCATTAGAAATACTACAGATGTGACATCGAGTTCCCTAGTGTACAACAGTGTTCAGGTATTGACGCCATAAACTGTAACATTGTTGCATGGTTAATCAAGGCATTCTACATTGGCAGCTCACGGACATGCTTTTAAATTTTCATGGGAAATTTTGAAGTTACAAACTCTTTTTTTTAGTTTTTTTCTCTACTTCCTCAGCATCTGAATTAAGACATTAGCAAGTGGACATTAACATATATCCTTAAATAATGAGTGAGACTCTGGAAATCATTATACCCTTCATTCCAGGAAAATTTCATTATAACCCATCTCTAATTTTAGTTCATTTATAAAAAAATAATAAGCTGAGCTAATATTCTTGAGTTTCTGAAAATTCGATTATTTCTTTCCATCCACACAGCTAAACACTCTCTATAAATGAGAGATTTGGATATTTCCATGTAAATCCCACCGTGCAAATAAGCACGAGGTCAGTTAAGGGCCTGAGTCCAAGCATAGAGCTATTCCGCATGCCAAATTTGCATACGATTTGGTCCCAGGTTTCTCTTAATTGGCATTCAAAGAATAAGTGGTTAACAGTTGCAAGACTTCGAGAAGAACCTTCTATTTAATTAAAACTTCTCCATAACCCAGCAATTCAAACAGATGAACCAAAACTGTGATCTAAATCCAAAGGCAGAACAATCTCTTAATACATAAATCACACTATTTCCCTCGTTAAAATGCACGTGAAGATAATTCTCTTGTTAAGTATCTCGAGATCCATTTCAAATAGGAGGGAGCAAAGAGACAAACTCAATTAAGTCATCATTTTAACACTATTTACAATTTTGCTTTCACGGTTTAATTATATTATTCATGACTAAACTTTGCCCCTAATTACTACCATAGTTTGAAAAAACGTAAACGGGTATTGAGGCGTTTTTTTGTCATGAGGCGAGACGTAAGCCTCACCACAAACAAAACAGGTGTAATCTGTCGAACAGAATGGGTGCAATTTGGCGTCGATGCACTGAACAAGAAAAAACCAAGCAAAGTCTAGTGAAACAATTTTAAATTGTAAGTCACTAAAAGAAGGCAGAAGCAAAGGAGAAAAGAGACATAGAAGCAGCACTTGAGGATCTCTTTTAAGCGAAGGATTGAAGATAAGTTTTCTGGCTGCCATTTAGTTCTGGAAAGATTTCTAACTGCCGTGTAGTTCTAGCCATCTAGGAAGATTTTTGTCTGCCGTGAAGAAGGATTTTTGACTGTCTTTTGGTATTCTAGATATTTTAATATTTTGTTTGGCTCAAAATGTCTTTTTAAATGGGCCCTTCTCTTTTTTAAAGAGGGCATTTTTTAATTCATTTTCAAAAACCTGAAAAAAACGTATTTCAAATGAGGCGCACGCCTCATTTTTTTTTGCCTCAAATGTAGAGGTGTGCGCCTCATTTTTTTTGCCTCACAAATTGAGCTTCGAGGCGCAGAAGCTGCGCCTCACAGTGAGGCGGGCCTCAACTGGGTTTTTTTTATACCGTGATTACTACTAACTCACTAATCTTGAAAATATAACTCGATGGTCACTAATCTTTGCGTCGTATTATACATCCATCATTGAGATGGATTCCATCTATTTGCTTTGACGGAAAGGCTAATATGGCCAACGAAATGTCAAAGTGGCAGCTTTTCGCCATCAAATGCTGTCAGCTCAATAAAATTTCACTCACTTTCCCAATCCACAACTTAAATCTTTAAAAAATACAACTTTCATTTTGCAAAATGTTAAAACCCCCAAATTCAAAAATAAATAAATAAATAAAATCAAAAGAAATCCAAGGTGAATTGAATCTCTAATGTTCATCCAAAAATCGAAGAAAATAAAACTCCATCGTCGTCTCCCCCAAAAACCTCCATGCAGCCATCAACAAATTGGATGAACATGATGATTGAACCCTCAAATTCGCAACATTTGCAGGGTTTGCCACCCTCCTCTTTCAGTATCACCATCACCTCCCCCTGTCTTGACCAGCATAATAAAAAACGAATGGAAGTTGTGTTTTGGAAGGGTTTTATAATTTGGAAAGTGAAAGTTGTTTTTGAAAGGGTTGGCATCGTGTTTTTAATTGGAAAAGTGAGCGGCGTTTTGTTGAGTGGGCTGTATTTGACGGGAAAGGCTCCCACATTGGAATTATGCAAGCCAAGTTGGAATTTCCATCAAAGTGAGTCCATCTCAGTGATGGATGGGCAACACGACGATTAGTGACCATGAGTTACATTTTGAAATGAGTTACTAGTAGGCAAAGTTCAGTAACCAATAATATAATTGAACCCTAGCTTTCACAGCTTATAAAAAGAGTTTATGAGATTTTTAAACTACCATACAGTCGTACAATGAGAATAATACTCTAAAGAAGAGATTAATTAGGTTTCA